GTGATCACTAACAGGGATGTAAACAAATTTGTGCAATTTGTTTTTTGAGAAATACGTTTTTTTTGTGTATGGAACATTTCTGGGATGTTTTATTTCAGCTCATGAAACATGAGACCAACACTTTACATGTTGCATTTTTATTTTTTTTCAGTGTAGAAATTTAAAATACAGAACATTTAAACTTAAATGTTTAAAGCACATTTTGAAAAGTAAAAACTTAAGACTGCGCACGGTTTGCCATACAAAATGTATTCCATGCAGGACTACCGCAGCAACACAGGGACATAATAGCGTCCGGAGTCCGGAGTCCCACGCTTGATAATAAAATCATAGAACCCCCCCACTTTGAGCTACGCAGTCTGCGATCCCCGTTCTGTTCGCCTCACGTAACCCACGCTGTATTTTAAAAACTATACATTCTAACGAAAGAGGACAGACCTAACATTGAACATTGATATGTAACATTTAAAAACATTTAGCTCTCCCAGCTGACAGGACCCCATATGGGGTATGGGATGTACACCACCGTCGGGCCGGGTCGCGTGGCAGAACAGCAGTGGATACGTATCCACGGTGCACTGAATATGCTAGAAACTGGACAGGAACAACAACTAGGCTGTACTCGGATTCAGGTTGATCACTGTAGGTTTTAGCCTGATTAATTACGTAGAATAGAGGAGAACATTACACTCGCAGCACACTGTGTTTACAAACACCTGATAAAGCTTAGCTAATCAATTTGCATGTCCAAGAACACACTATGGATGGGCATAGAGTCCGTGTGGATAGTCTGTGGGAGAGGGAGAGGAGTAGTTTTGATCCATTTAACAGTCTGTTTGTCAAGCTGAGACTTGATGCAGCAGTACTGCCTGCTGGACGGGAGTATGGAGAACATACAAGGGTTACCAGCATCATCTCATCTCTCGTTTCATGATGGGCATTTGGACATATGTAGCCTACATGGAGGTTTTTTTGCATACATCCAAAATGGAAGCTGGCGAAAAGAATGTAGGGTCTGCACAATACATAGATAAAAAGGCGATGTCCGTTCACTGCTTTGCTGCTTCCAAACTTAATCTTTTAATAAAGCTTTGGTGCTGAAGATTCATTTCAAAGCAGTCTCAAGATTCAAAACCATTAATGCTAGGCTTGGCTACTTGTTGAACGAATTGGGCAGGACAAAAAAACAGCCTTCATTGAGGGAGGGGAGGCTTTATGCCTGGTTTTGAATCAAATGAAAGCAAATGGTAAAAGCAAATTGTTTTTTATGTTTATTAATACGAGGGTTACCCGCATAAAAAAACACATATCCTCTCTTGTTCCATGAGCATAAGGGCACTGTGCGTCACAGCTGTATAGGTTGTGCTTCCACTCACAAAATCCATGCCATTACCATGTTACCGCTAAGATCTGCTTTTCGTTGGTCTAAAATATCCCGATATGTGCTGCATGGAAATGTCACCTTTGCACTTGTTTTCAAAGACTTGCCTTAAATATTGCCACCCCTCCCACCTGTTCTGAATTCTATCGCTGTACATTTGAAAAGTGCTGAACAAATACTTATATTGACTACGTATGTCCTAGCTCGCTCATTAATATATTAATCGAAATTACGAATTTCCTCTTATCTGCTCTTCGTTCCCTTATGCCTTAGTTTGTACATCTCAATTGTCAGTAGAAACCACATTTGTTTAAGCAAGTCAGCCACGTTTTTTTTTTAAGGCAGTAAATGAGTCTGAATGAACTGTTTCGCTGCCAGACAAGGCTCCGCTGATTGCCAGGTGTAGCGGTGGTAAGGATTCACTCCATGGTGCTGAAAAGAAAGCTCTGCTGTTGGGACAGCTTTATGTAGGCCCTAACAGTTTGTGGGCACCGTTAGTCACCGTTATAGTGCAATCAATGTATAGATTAATGTTGTGGCTTTGTTGGCATGCATCAACAAAAAAATAATAATGGTGCACCCCACTGGTGGTGTTTTCAGGTACTGTCAACAATTTACGGACTCAATGAAAGCTCCTTAATGTAGAGAAAGTGCTGCCATTGAGCCACAAGTAAATGGCTGGTAGCCCCATGATAAATCCCACCAAGTACGGTGTCCAGAGATGGCCATTTCCCAGTCACTGAAGTCATCAGTTGGCACTAACTGGCCAAGCTGCAAAGCCGGAAGTTCTACCATCTTAAAAGCTGTTTTTAAAACTAACCCTAACTTAACCCTAACCAAACTGCTAACCTTATGCCTAACATTAAAGACCAAAAAGCTAATTTCCCAACATAACATCCTCAACATAATATCCTTATTACATGTTACTCAGGTAAAATAAGCTAATTTACATTCGGGAAAGGAGTCAGCGCCATCTTCAGTGACCGGAGAACAGGTATGCTAAATCTTGATCTTTTGACAGATGCCATTTGATCATTGTGATCATGTGTTTGGTTTGACTATTGTTTTTTTCTTCACAGGTTCAAAGACTGGAGAAGATGTCACCTGATCAGCAGTAAGTAAAGTCAGCGTTAAACCATTGTAAAGGATCAAATGTTTCAACTGATTCATCTCGTATTTTCAGAACTCCAGTGTCCAGGCAACGGAACTTGTAGTCCCCAATCAATAAAAAAAGAACGAAACGAATCCAGCAATAGTTGTTTATTTTTCTGTATTTTTCATGTTCTCTTCTATCCATACTGAACACATTCGATGTCCTATCTAAAATCAAATATTTTCTGTGTTTATTTTTGTAAATTAAAATCCACCGCACATGTCAGAATATTAGAAGTGAGTTTTATTATTCATAGACATACAGTTCAAGAATTCTGAGGATTTGTACCAGGCCCGAGATGGGTGTTACATGAGTTTGGTTCAGAAAATGTTCTCAATAAAATAAACGTGTGAACACTTGAAAAGCTTGAACCTTTACATGACATCAATGCCAACCTCCAGCATTGGAGAAATTAGAGGCAGATTATCAACACTGGATAGATGGAACCTCATCATCCTTGGATTGGAGGAAACGTGATTGGCAGTCAGTATTTGGCTTAGCTAGCCCCAACCACAGAACATGTATTGGAATCGATCTTTCACGGTGTATTTAAAACTAAATTGCAGGTTTTAAAGAGAGGGCTTGTAAATAAAATAATCTATTTTCAATGCCTTGGAAGTTGCAGGTGTTTTCTGCCTTTATGGTAAATGTAAGCCTCAAGTAGGCTACATGCTTTTGTGTTTCTCCATCTATTTAATCTGTTAACAAACTTTGTGTACATGTTCTTCTGTTTGTGTACTAGTGCTATGTGTCTTTACTCTTTACCAAAAATAATTCCCACTATATTTAGGCACTAATACATAATAAATCTCTATTTCTACTCAAATGGAAAAAAGTTGAATCCTTTAAAAGAATGTAAAACGAAAATAATCTATTTACAAAGCAAAGCAGATATGTTAAAATGTTTTGGGTGGGAAAATATTACACTATTATTGTCTTAAGAATAGGTGGCAATGTCATCATTCCTCTCAAACGCTGTTGCAGAGTATTTAAAATGCAATTAAAGTTTTTGTAAAAAAGAAAGTGTTAGATGACATGAAGCGGATCTATTGTTGTAATGGCAGAAGGCACTTAAGAGGAATGATCTTTATCAATGTACAAATGAAAACCTTCAGTACCTATTTTGTGAAAAACTATTTGTGTATCAGGCAATTGTTGTGTATGTATCGCAGAATGTTTTGTAACTCTTGGAAATGTCTGAAATAAATTCATTTGGGAAAACGTCAAATACAATTTATCTATGTCGTTTACTTCAATTTTCTATTTCAAATTCTGTTTTCAGTTATTTTTGCCTGGGGTAGAGATGATTGAACAGTATTGATATCTTCCTATGTGCAAACATTAGGCAGATCGGCTCTACCATGACCATGTCTTTTTCAAACCATGGAAAGAGTTTCATATTGCCTCCTTTAGGTAGTTTTACATTTGATTCTTCACCAATGTTCTTCACCATAGTCTTGATTGGTGGGGGAAACAAACAATTATCTATATACAATCAGTACAATTGTTAGCCAACATCACCCCTGTATTACAAATACTGAACATATTCCTGACACACAGCAAAAAACCCAACCTGGACAGTTATTCAATATATACAAGAAACAGCAAGCACAGAAGGACACTTAAAATTAAGGATATGCAGCACTGACTGTGCACAGTGTTTCCTAGCTTTTGGCTGGTACTCTTTGAAGCCTCCTACTGTCTAAGACTATATCTACTGTACAAACATCAACGTGTAACTTTCTTTCAATATTAACATGGAAATCCCAGCAGTAAATAAAATATCTAAGACCATTCTAGAGCCAAACCTTGATATGCTAATACAGGTAACTTTGTAATGAGATAATTTTTTTCATGATCAGGAAAGGTGACTGTTTACAGCTGAATATTGAGTGGTTGAAACTGTTATATATTTTTCCCACAACCAAATAAAAAAAGTATGTTAGTATTTTACAAATATTTAAAAAAGTAAACCTTTATCTATGGGCATTTCAAAATATATTCCATCAAAAATAGTCAGACATTTTGCTGGTAGAAAAAAAAGGTTTTTGAAGCAAATGTTTACAGAATAAATGTGTCATGTTAGATTTACTTCAGAACTTAGCTAAATACTTTTTTCCTCCTGGCAGAACATCTTACATAAATGCTTTTTTCCCAGCAGATGATGTTAAAAACCTTTTAAAACATGCAATAACTGTAACTTAACTCCATCATTTTGCAAAATAAGTTGATTGGTGATGAAAATGGTCAACAAGTGGGTTTCAAAACTTGTCTGTGTATCTGTAACAATGGTTAACAGTTCTATATAGATTTGTGAAAACTTGTCACCTTTGGCAAACTTGAATAGTTTCAGACATGCTGAGAGTTCAAGGCATGTACTGTGGCAGCTCACTGGTCATCTCACACACTTAATGAGTTCAGTCCAAAGTACCACGCCTTTCACTTCCATGCCCTTCGTCTTCCTCTTCAGATGACAAACGAAGATTTGTGTCGGAAGTCGCCCTAGAATAAAAAGGGAAGAGCAAGTAAGCAAAAGTTAAAGGACTGCCTAGTTTTACTTTTTTGAGTTCAAGAAATCTTTGTTTTTCTTTACGCACCTCGTCCTCGGTTCTGACGTAGTCCACTCCTTCTCCTTTGGCTGGGGCTTTGTAACTGTCAAACACCATGGAGACATGATCAGAAGGCATTTATGCTGTTGCAAAAACAACACATTTCTAGTAAGAATTGTTCCATGCATGTTATAAAACCTTGGGCCGTAAGTTAACTAGGTAAAGTTGTGAAGTCAAGTTTGTTCATAAAGTCTAAATTGGCAAATGTTAAACCTCAATGAGCCATGACCCATCACTATTGCTGCTCAAGAGGAAGTTTCACTCACTTGTTTCCAGTCTGTTTCTGGCTGATGAAGTAGCCTTGCTTGTACGCAAAGCAGAGGCCCACTGTTACACACAATAGCACCACCACCAGCACACCCAGGACGATCCTGGCAATGTTGATATCATCTGGGGAAAAACAACAGGAAGAATGAAGAATTGAAGTTGAGATACCTCTTTATGAATTAAATACCGGACTACTGGAATGACATGCTTCAACAAACAACATGTGTCTTGTGTACAACTTTGTCAGCTGTCAGACAGACTTACAGATTTCCATTGTCTGCGGTCCACACTCCGAGTGGCCCGCGTCGTTTTTTGCTCGGCAGAAGTACTCTGCTGAGTCGTCCTTTCTGACAGCACTGAATTTCTGTAGAGGAAAAACCAACAACAGCAAGGCTCAATTACACTTCGTATAACCGGTGTCCTTTCGTTCTGGTGTATGTACTGCATGTGGGAAAGTGCAGGCTTATAACGAGGTTCAATCGGAATTACATTGGGGGTGGAACTGTCCCCAAAATGAGTTGCTTTACTGTTCAACAGATATCCCTTCAGTTCTCGTTGTATGCTGTCTCCCATCGGATTTTAACCCACGCTAATGATGGTCTTGTCCTCTAATTCTAGTCCTGTAAATAATTAGTTGGCTTTCAGTTGGATATGAAAAGCAGATTTGGTAGCGTATGCAAGTGGTCTTCAAGGAAAAGCGGCCAGTATCTAGTAGGGTGTGACTCCCTGGAAGTACAGTATGTCAGTGACAGCCAGACCAACCTTTAGAAGCCAGTGTAAAGGTTGAGTGGAGTGGAGTGGCCCGGGGGCGAGCCACTGACTGTCTGGAGGGAGGGAGTTCAGGAATGTGCCAATGAGGACAGCAGATTCCCCTAATGGCTCAAGCCCCCTCACACCATCAACTGTCTCCCCAAAATATCCACCCCTACCCCTAGGCACCAGGCCACCACCCCCGCAGCCTCGCACTGCACTACAGTGTCCCCTTCCCTCCCAGTCACCGCACACAAACACACACTCACCAGGGTGCCTGTTTCGGCGTTGAGCGTGTAGGAGGAGTTGAAGAACTTAAGGCTGGTCTTAGGGTCATCAGGGATTTCCTCCTTGTTGCGGAACCATTGGTACTGAGACTTGGGGAAACCCTCGTCCTCCACGCATCGCAGCTCTGCCGCCTTCCCTACAGGCACCGATTTGGGGACAACGCATTTTGGCACCACTGGCTTCACTGTGGACACAAGCACACATTCAGTAATGGCAACATTCAGCATCTGATTGTGTCAAAAACAGCCTAGCCCATGATACACACTGAATTATTGTTACTAGGCCAATGAATGATCTCGGAGGGAGGGTACGTGTTTTTTACCCCGTGCCAAACCCTGCCAACACTTTCCATCTTTAGCACTGCGATTTAGCGGGGATGCAGTTTCAGAGGTTTCCCCATATAGCCCAGAACACGCGTTTGGGGCAGGGGCGGCCCAGTCAAAAAGCATCCTCATACATGTGCCAAAAGGTTGGCGTGACCTAAAACATGGTTTCAGCTTACAACATTGAAACAGAGGAAAAATAAGTTCCTGTAAACTGATATGGCTGTTTTAGGTACAAAGACTACATGTTCATTGTATTTTGTATGTTATGTTTCATAGCAACTTTCAAAGAAACAAGGTTTAAGACTAACGGCAAACATTTTAGCAGTGACATTATGAGATGCATTAAAGAATTGCAACGCAAATGACTGATGGCAAACATGCAATTTCAGCGAGGTAGCGGCAATGCTCCCTTACCCAAACATGCAATATCAGTCATAGCCACAGGGTGATGCATCTTCTTGTGGGTGTATAGTCTTGAATTTGTTCTGGTTTCAATATTATACCACAGTTTACTGTAGTAATACAACTAACGATGTGCTTCTGGTGCAAAAAGCTGGTGATGATGTGTTGAGCAGATGTGAGCTGAAGCGGCTCGGAGGGATGATGGACCTACCTCTTACGACGAGGTTGATCAAAATCTCATCAAATGATTTATGGTCAGTCTGGGCGCTGACCTCGCAACGATAACTGGCTGAGTCTGATCTTGTGGCGTTGGTTATCACCAATGTTGCAGGCTCTCTGATCCTTGCTCTGCCCTCCAAATCTCCTGCAGGAGAAAAAAACATGCTTTAAGTTCCCATTGACTTAATACAGGCATAATTGATGATGAGTATAAAACAGAATGTCATTCCCTTATTAGTCCGAGAACTGCTGTTTGTAAAACAGGAGTTGTTTGTGTCTGTAAGATGATTTTGAACATTTTGTATTGGTTTTGTCACTTTGATATTGATGTTGGAGATATTAGTGAAGATGACATTACGACAAAGCACTCAGTTGAGTTTGTGTTACCTGAGATTTTCTTCTCAAAGTAGACATAGCTGGGCTCCCCATCCTTAATCTTCTTCCATTCGATTCTTGGGTTTTTTGTGGAGATGGACTCTATCAAACAGGACAATTCGATAGCTGCCAGAGGAGACAATAGGGAATTAGATGTAAGGCTTTTTAAAGGAAGAACCAAAGGATGGATGTTATCTAGTTCTGGTTCTTTAGTGTCATGTCAAGGTCAAGCAGGAAATGTCTGTAACTGATTGTCACGTCGGTGTATACATTACGACATCTCTATTGGCTCTTACATTCAAACTCGTTGGCCCATGGCGCATCATTTGTCGTTTTCAGTATTACTGCCAATACGGTGAAGTAGCCTGCAAAACAGGAAAGAGGAGGAAGAAACATGAGTTTTACAGCCACACAAACTTTGCCATTACACTGATGACCTCAATAACTACGTGCGATGTCCATTGGTAGCTGTTTGCAGGGCTGTGGTTGGTCAGCTGGCTGTTATGCCTACATTAGGGATGTTTCTACCCAGTCAGCTCATCCAAAATTCCAGAAACTTAATGAGCATCAAACCCCTCCATCCCCTTGCTCCCAGCCTACCAACCCACCCAGATGCATTCTTCCCAGCTTACCATGGCCTGGATCTGTTACCTTCCATTTTTAGTCTGGCGGGGCGAACCAACGCGGGCATACGTAAGGGGAGCTCAGTTTCTGCGCACGGTGGGTAATTGTGCAGGGAGGCGACTGCCCTCCTCAGCGCGAGCTCACCCATGCAAGTGGCCTCTCTCTCTCTCTCTCTCTGGGCCTGACGCGTGTGCCCATGTAGCAGTAATGGGCCATGAGTGCCCTGGAAACACGCCCCGCTTTGGTCTGTTACGCAAGCTTAAATACCTTATATGAGTGATAATTCACTTATATTAGTGTTTTTATCTTACCAAGCTAAATTATCTAACATTAATGGCAGATCATTTTGCTTATAAATCAAATTATTATCTTGAAATAAGATAAATTACTTGCAACTCCATCACTTTTCAACCTCATATTCATTATCTCTAGCACCAAACCAGTGTCTACATATGTGAAACGGTGTGTTTCTATGATCTGTGGTTAAGAAGATAGGTCCTAAAAAAATGCTTCTCTGTGACATCACAGGGTGGGATTAAAAGTTTTTTTTTTTTTTTTAACTGATTTTCAAAACCTGCAAAAAGTTTCTAGCCAGAGAGAGGGTATTTTCTTGCTCCCCACGTCACCGTGAATCTCATAGTGTTTGATGATGTAGAACTTTTTAACATTCTTGTTTTCTACCAAATGTAGAAATGCGCCGTTTTCACATAGGTAGACACTGGTTTGGTGCTGGCCTTTTTTTATGTTAAAATAAGCAAAGTTATCTGCCAATGACATTAGATCATTTAGCTTGGTAAAAATAAATTTAAAGAAAGATAAGATATTTAGGCTTGATTAGATTTAACTTTTTGCAGTGTGCACTGCAGAATCATACTGAAAGGCCATGCTCCCACACATGCATCCCAACCCAGTAATACCCACATGAAGTCTCCCTGAGACTCAGATAAAGCTTAGGCTCAAGTAGCTGCTAGAGGCCTAAGCCCCCCAGTCATTTATAAAAAGACAGGAGCCCGTTTAGAGCCTTTTACTGTTTTAGAGGTCACCGGGCCTCTGCTGACACAGTGAATTAGCAAGGCACCACACAGTTCTTTCACACAGTAAGGCGAGTCGGTGACCTGAAGAGACAAGTCTGTCTGAAAGCGTAAGGTCATGGATCCTTTGGTAGACCATTCCCCAGGAAATTCTCCTCACACCCAGGCATTAAAGTAGGTGTATTTTCTGTGTCACTCACCCAGTTCCTACTAAGTCAAGGTCAGTTTGCTTTGGTGTCATACCAGTTCTCTGCTAACTATCGAATGCACGCATGGGTGAGGGAGCTGTCTGGGGTTGCCTTCTAAAGCAGACAGGGTAAGCTGCTTACCCTAAGGTCTCTGAGATCATTACTAGATCACAGCTTGTTTACCTTATGTCGTCATGTTAAACGCCATGCTATACATTGTCCCACGGGCTTAAAAAGCTGATTATTCGCCCTCTTACCTCAATATAAGATTAAACAATTAATGAGATGTAAGGGAGTGATCCGTTTAACCTCATTTTTGGACAGACCAGAGCCTTAGATATGCAGTTTTAGAAACTGTTCTTCGTCATGGCAATACAGGAAGGTCGTGGGTTCGCAGACCACTGTGGACAAGAGTAGGGGTAGAAAGATCTCCTTTATAGTAAAAACATTGCATGAATCTATCATCGTATTTGCAGGTCCGACAAAAAATTGCATATTAGCAGAATCTTTTTTCATACCACACAAATTACTGAAATTACAGGCTAAGAATGGACAGAGAGATAGGCCTATGTGTTCATCTTATCATATTTCTTCAATGCCAAATCAGTGTGTCTTGTTTGCAACGAACCTGTCCCTGTTTGCAAATGTTTTTATCTGAGACGTCATTAGGAATCTGAGCATGGTTCTTTCAAAAGTTAGGCCTACCTTTCCACCCTAGACAGGGTGTAGGTCTACCAACGCAGAAAAATTTAAGCTTTAACAGCTGGCTACTCTTCTTCTGTGGCTTAACCCAACAAAAAAAGGTCACAAGTGTTTACCTAAAAGCTGTCTGGGTTTAAACAACAACATTATATTGTACAGAAAGTGAATAGCTTAATCAACTGATAGTGACAGAATTAGATTACTTCCCAAGCAAAGTCAATGTTTTCTCTACTCGGCTATAGAAGGTTGTACAGTGAGGGAAAAAAGTATTTGATCCCCTGCTTATTTTGTACGTTTGCCCACTGACAAAGAAATTATCAGTCTATAATTTTAATGGTAGGTTTATTTGAACAGTGAGAGACAGAATAACAACAACAAAATCCAGAAAAACGCATGTCAAAAATGTTATGAATTGATTTGCATTTTAATGAGGGGAAATAAGTATTTGACCCCTCTGCAAAACATGACTTAGTACTTGGTGGCAAAACCCTTGTTGGCAATCACAGAGGTCAGACGTTTCTTGTAGTTGGCCACCAGGTTTGCACACATCTCAGGAGGGATTTTGTCCCACTCCTCTTTGCAGATCTTCTCCAAGTCATTAAGGTTTTGAGGCTGACGTTTGGCAACTTTCAGCTCCCTCCACAGATTTTCTATGGGATTAACGTCTGGAGACTGGCTAGGCCACTCCAGGACCTTAATGTGCTTCTTCTTGAGCCACTCCTTTGTTGCCTTGGCCGTGTGTTTTGGGTCATTGTCATGCTGGAATACCCATCCACGATTCATTTTCAATGCCCTGGCTGAGGGAAGGAGGTTCTAACCCAAAATTTGACGGTACATGGCCCCATCCATCGTCCCTTTGATGCGGTGAAGTTGTCCTGTCCCCTTAGCAGAAAAACACCCCCAAAGCATAATGTTTTCACCTCCATGTTTGACGGTGGGGATGGTGTTATTGGGGTCAAAGGCAGCATTCTCCACCAAACACGGCAAGTTGAGTTGATGCCAAAGAGCTCGATTTTGGTCTCATCTGACCACAACACTTTCACCCAGTTCTCCTCTGAATCATTCAGATGTTCATTGGCAAACTTCAGACGGGCCTGTATATGTGCTTTCTTGAGCAGGGGGACCTTGTGGGCGCTGCAGGATTTCAGTCCATCACGGCGTAGTGTGTTACCAATTGTTTTCTTGGTGACTATGGTCCCAGCTGCCTTGAGATTATTGACAAGATCCTCCCGTGTAGTTCTGGGCTGATTCCTCACTGTTCTCATGATCATTGCAACTCCACGAGGTGAGATCTTGCATGGAGCCCCAGGCCGAGGGAGATTGACAGTTATTTTGTGTTTCTTCCATTTGCGAATAATCGCACCAACTGTTGTCACCTTCTCATCAAGCTGCTTGGCGATGGTCTTGTAGCCCATTCCAGCCTTGTGTAGGTCTACAATCCTGTCCCTGAAATCCTTGGAGAGGTCTTTGGTCTTGGCCATGGTGGAGAGTTTGGAATCTGATTGATTGATTGCTTCTGTGGACAGGTGTCTTTTATACAGGTAACAAACTGAGATTAGGAGCACTCCTAATTTAAGAGTGTGCTCCTAATCTCAGCTTGTTACCTTTATAAAAGACACCTGGGAGCCAGAAATCTTTCTGATTGAGAGGGGGTCAAATACTTATTTCCCTCATTAAAATGCAAATCAATTTATAACATTTGTGACATGCGTTTTTCTGGATGTTTTTTTTGTTATTCTGTCTCTCACTGTTCAAATAAACCTACAATTAAAATTATAGACTGATCATTTCTTTGTCAGTGGGCAAACGTACCAAATCAGCAGGGGATCAAATACTTTTTTCCCTCACTGTAGCTCAGCCTCTGAATGTCAAAGAAATGAAACAACGATATCCCCATATGCATCGGAGTCACGTCTTTCCCTGTATTTTACAGCTTGTTTCTAGCGTAAAGCATCACGGACCAAAGCGCTGTTATAGATCACTTTATATAATCGGATCCATTTTATTTTCTTCCAAATGTTAAGCTAACAAGGGGTAGGCCTGTGCTTTTTGTTATAAAAAATAAATAAAAGGTAGGCCTACGGCATACCCTCTCAAACCCCCTAAATTTGAGTCAAGGTTATAACTTAACAGCCCTTCACTGACACAGAGGTAGGCTATTTAAAGAGTGCATGGTGGGTGGAGGAATTGACCAACAAATCAATGGATATAGCAGCTTATAGCCTAATTTCATCTGTCAAACAGGTAGGTCTACCTCTTATTTCTTAAATAGGAAGAAATAGGCTCCAACACAAAGCCCTCTTGCTGTTAGTAAAGTCTCATTCAAATGAAGAAGGTTGAAATGAATTATGCCTACTGGAATTTGTCTACTTTCAGCACCATGAGCTGTCCATTTCCGATTGATTATGCTGCGGCTTCAAGTTTCAGCACCACAATGTAAGAATCTGGCTTATTGTGAGGTCAATAACTCTGATAAATACATCCTGAGCAAGAAACAAATTGTGTTTAATAAAATCAACTATAGTAGTAAGCTATTAAAAAGTTCACCTCCAGTCCTCCTCATCTTCGTGCTCTCCTTCTCAAACTGAACAGAACATAGGCTATAGGCTAGTCCCTGCTCAAGATAGTGCATTTTTTGGAAATGCAACCCCCCCAAAATTGGAAAAAGCCTTTGACTCTCCTCCTGAACTGCCAACATAGGCCTACACAGCACAGCCATCGGTTAGGCAGGACACACATTTATTTTTTATCAGCAAGAGCAGAGCAGGTCGGGGCTCAGGGTTGGAATATCCATTGCAGTGTGTAATGCAGCCTAGTTGTATTTACACCATCCCAGCTATCTTAGAAATATAACTTTGCTCTGTGCTTCTCCGAGCATGCACTTCGTAGATTATAGCCTATAGGCTATGGATCATTTGATTGAGAACACACTAAATAGCCTATAGGCACACTTGATATAGCGTGCCCAGCGGAGAATCAGAGATGAGGGGTGGCATCGGGCACACATCCATATATAGCAGAATGTGGCAGGGGCTACAGTCCATTATGGATTACAGAGGAAGACCCAACCGTGATCTGCCCAACGATGCCTCTCTACCAGTTGAACTCAATGC